TCCATAGTGCCAGAAACATCGTAAAGTTTTCAATTTTCTGATAGTTTTGATCATTCTTTTTTTTTTCTCAGTGTCAATGTCTATTATTTTTTGTGTCAGTAATTTTACTGACTGCTGATAGCACTTTAAATAGAGAATACTCAGGGGCTATTTGGTTCCCCCAATTTACTTACTTCATCTTCATGCCTTGTAATAAAATTAATCTTACAGTAATTAGTAGTTTTGAAGCGTATTGAATAGGGTTTCTTAAACTCGATTGCAAGATATTATGAAGGCCTGAATATATGCATGATTCAGTCTAAAAAGTTGTTAAGATGCCATCGAACTTGCGCAGTATTATGGTGTTAATAATATAGTTCTCCGAGAACAGATTTTCCTGATAGAGTAATGGAAAAATTGACATTCTCGTACCTTAGTTAGAAATTTTCTTTCTTTAAAAACTTATTGTGGATAAAACGATAAAATGAAAAATATATCAGGATGCTTACCTTCAAAATCTCGATTTCATACAAGAGAAAAAGTAAATGGTTAAACGAAAGTTAAATAAAAAATAAAACAAAAGAGAAAATAAAATACTTGTTTTTACACTCCTGTGTGTTATTGTTCCAACCTGAAAATGTTTTCACGCACGCGAAGTAGTTTTACTAGTAAATATAACTTTTTTTTTTTTTTTAAAAAAAAGGAAAAAAAATTTCTTTCTTTTTTTTGCATTTTTTTCTAAAAAACTTATAGTATGCATCAATTTTATCAAAATGTTACCGAGTTTGAGCTTTCGAAAGAAACTTCAAACCACGCAAAATATTTCTTTTCTTTTTTTACGATTATACTTGGTTTTATCGCATGACTCATGATATTTTGTTTAAATCTTCGTAGTTTATGTCAAAAAACAAATATTTCTGAATCACATATAAGAGGAAAGCATTTTCTTCATTATGGAAAAAAAATTTTGGATTCGTGAAAAATTGAAATAATTATGTGTTTTAACTTGCGGATTCAGTCATAAAACTTCGGTAGTTTTTTTTAATCTTAAACATATTTTGTTTTCTTTATTAGCTTCAAAGTTTTTACGTGTTTTGCTAATTATACAGCAGAAAAGAGATTTTTTTAAAATTCCGTCATATAAATTCATTTTTTATATACCATAATTTCGTTTGTTTCCATATGAATTATTTAAAAAAATTTACAAAGGCCTTAATTCATAAACTTGTGGTGCAATTTTTTGCAGTTTTAACTTATATATAATTTGCAAAAAACTAATTTTATCTAAAATATTAATGCATATAAAAAAATTATTTCATTATAATATAGAATCTTGTAATTTTATATGAAATTGTGTGATTCATTTAGGAAAAAAAACATTAAAAATTATTTAGAAGTCTTTTAAAAACTAAAACTTAACTTTAAAAATTTAAAATTTGAACGAAGTTAAGACTAAACATTGATAAAAATTCAAATGAAATTTTTGCAGCGTAGTTATTTAAAAATACTTTTAAATCTCTAGAGTAATAATATTGTTAACTTTATCATTAACATTACCACATTATTAAGTCGATCTATAACTTAATCTAATAATCACTTTATCACGTTTTGATTTTTCATAATAAAATTTTTATATTTACATAATATAATACGAAATTCGGTATATTTCTTTAGATTAAGCAAAAATACATTAATAGGAAATGCAAATAAACATAATAAAATATAAATAATTTCATATCAGACAATAAAGAAATTTATCTAAACAGTACATTTTAATTACTTAGGCTTACAATGCTTTTAGTACATGACTGTAAGTTTGAGAAAAAAGACTACATAAAAGGATAATTATTTAAATTAATTAGATAATTTAAATTCCCTTGAGAGTTGTAATCTGTCAGTTATTTGCGCCTGCATTAACATTTTTAAAGTATTAAAGTATTTTAAAGTATCGTAAAAAATGCCTTCCTTCAATTGATTCACATTGAGCAACCTTCAAAATGTGATCCATTCCGTTTATTCATTCATCCATTCCTTAAAATTCTTACATCCATTCTTTAAAAGGATAATTAGACGATGAAATTAACAATTCGAAGAAATTAACCATAACATACTTTTCAGAAAATAATTTCCTAAACTAATTTTTCCCATGATAGAACAACTCGAAATTCTAAGAATTATTAATTTTTATCAAAAAATTATTAATGAAGTAATTTTAAAAGTTATTGTATCTTAATTGTTTTTATTATTTATAAATAACTCTATTTTACTGCACACTTTTCGCAAAATATGTAATTTACGCACAGAAATTTAGTTTGAAGAATTTGAAATGACAATTTTCTTTCAAGTTTCATAGGATTTAATTTTTTTTTTAAATATCTACATTTAAAATAATGCAGCATTTATAAACATTAAAAAAATTTTTTGATTTTCAGCTCTATCATTTTCATTAAATTACAATATTGTAATTATATACATGTTGTAGACCAAAACAATTAGAATTTTATCATTTTTCCCTAAAATTATAATAAACTTTACAAGACTATCCAAATTGGTCACGATTGTCTTATCGTCGAATATGCATTCCTTAATACTCGACATTTATTATGCACTGTAAAATTCAAATACTCAAATTTGACGAAATTTTCTTAGTTTTTGACGAAACCGTATCTTGATATATACTCCGAGCGAAAATTTCGTCAAAGAGAGGAAATAACTATAGTAACTTCTTCGAGAAAATGAATTTCGTCAATTTTAACGAAATAATTCGTCCTTTTTTTCAAAATAAAAGAAAAATTAATAAATCTCGTTGCGTCTAATTTATCTCACTTTTCTAATAATCACTTTATAGTGGGCACCATACAGCTGGGAATATAGAATACCATCATTTTTATGGTTATTTGACTTTTTTGGTTAATATGTAAAAATAGCTCTTAAGTAAATTGTTGTTTGGCCATTTTTTTTCGAGAAATTTCTGACAGTGTATATCATATGTATACGATGTACTTGTATAATTTTACCTTTTTTTTTTCTTTTTTGAGAAAAATGGTACAAGGTTTGAAAATTCTTTAACAACTTTTGAAGAAAAAATACGCAATTTGTATATGGGTTGTTCCTTTGCTGTCTGAACTTTGAATAAATAATTCTAAGAAATATAGGAGGAAAACATAGATACTGGTTTTTGAAAATAAGTTTCTACAATTCTTTGAAATATATCTCTTCGTTTCGGAGCCAAGTGCAAAACTAGCTCATAAATTTGCCTTTGTCAAAGAACAAAACAAAGATTTGAAAATAAACATTGTAATAATTTGTAACCAAGAGCAGTTACTGTTGTCTTTAATTTATATTCTATGCTCCAGACGTTTCTTCGAATGTGTTTCATACAAATAAATAGATAAATAAATCGAAAATAACGAAAAAAAAATCCAAAAAAAAATCTACTGCATACACTATAAAAAATGGATACTCGAATTTCACGAACATTTTTCCGTTTTTGATTTTCAGGAAACGAATTTCGTCAATAGTAACAAAATATTTTGTCTTTCTATTTTTTTCAAATAAAAAAATTATAAATAAATCTCGTAGTGCCTAATATATCAAACTTTTCTAATCATCATTTTATCGTGGGTCAGTGTCACTTTAATAACAAATAGAATAGAATGTCATCTTAATAAGAAGTAGACAAAGAGCACGGAGAGATAAATCAGATCTATACCAGAAGCGGGATTCTAACCCAGGTTCTTCCTGGTACGAAACCAACTGCTTGACCTCCATACAACCCGAACGACTTATTTCGGCTCTCTTTTTCGATCGTCCAGTCATCATGGTTTCGTCATTCTAGTTAATAATCTTCTAAAATACACTACGATGAGATTTCAAGTTGAGGAAATGTTTTCGTCTTGTGAAAGTTTTTCGTACTTGAAAGTTCCTATTTCGTCGCAAATCACGTGATTTTTTTAAACAATTTAGTACTAAAAATTAACGAAATAAATCTCACAGATTGCTAAATCATCAAAAGTGAGGGTTTTATTTTTGAGAGTGTCCATATATAAGTGCTAATGCAATTCGTATAACGTTATATTTCTTCATATCAAAAGCATGCAGAATCTAAATTATATTGACTTGGGTCATGAAAAAGAATACCGAGCAAAAGTATAAAAAGACAGTGGTTAGTCTTATAAAATTTTAAAATCAAAATAATCCAAAATCTTTCTTCCTTTGGAATAAAGATCACAATAACTTTGCCATTTGAATCAGTTTCTAGAAAAAATATTAAATTCATTCAGAACCTGTCCCCTAACAAAAATTAAGCATTGTCATTCACATTTAAAATCATCCCCAATCTATCATTTATAAAAATTTCTAAAACAATATTCTAATAAAAATCACCTTGAATCTATTAGTCAGATCAAATACATTCATCATTCATTCACATTAATTACATTTCAATTCAATCACTTAGATCAAATTTTCAGATCAAATCAGGTTGAAAATTTATCCTTCAAGCCAAAATCGTCCCATTTCCGACATTCATATTAATTCCATTCTGATCCTATCATTCATATTAGCTATATTTTTCATTATTTTGATCACAATTAAGATTCTATCAATCGAATCGATCGAAACCATTCAGATTCCATCATTCAAAACAATTTCACCCAGAGTCTGTCATGCACATTAATTTCAAATCAATCATTCGGATCAAAATGGTTATTCAGATCAAAACCAGTTGAAAATTTACCATTCAATTTCAAAACAGCCCAGTTTCTGTCATTCGTGTAAATTCCATTGCTAGCCCTCCACTTTCATTTTAAATCTATCAATTAGATCAAAATTATCAATATTCTGTCATTCAGATCGAAATCGTCCAGATTCCATCATTTGTTTCACAATTTCACTGAAAACCTGTCATTCACATTAACTACATTCCAAATCGATCATTCAGATTAAAATTCGTTCTTTAAAAAAAATTATCATTACAAGTCACTTAATGCAACTTCATTTGTTTGTTTATTTTATTTCAGAATGATGAATTCAAGCCTAGTAAACAAACTAGTTTAAGTAGCTTCTTTCCAGGATCTTTCAAAAATATATTTGGCTACGACAGTAATTTAATTCCAGATGACATAGACATAGAATACAAGAATGAAGCTTACAGTGGGTGAGATAGAAATTCCTTTATTACGTAGTATTCACTGTCTAGAAAAATAAAGATTCTTAACATTAATGTTCATGCTGTTTTAGGTCAATGGATTCGAGAAATTGTCCGGATTTGATATATTATACAGACGCACAACGCAGTCGCATTGTTTGGGAGATTTTGATACGAACGCCCCACCACGGCGATGGAAGAGCAAGTACAGGTAAATAATACAGTATTGCTCAATGATTACCGTTACTATGTATAGTGTATTCTCTAATCACAGCCATTACTTTGCGTCCTTACACAGATGACTAAAATCTACAATTCTCTAATCAAAGTCATTAATACACTGTAAATAGAGGTTTCTCAAAGTTGAGCAAAAAATGTGTCATAATAGCTACGTAACAACTAGCAGTCGAATTTGTTAATCCTATGTATTCAAAATTGAAACAGCATCTACTCATTTCTGAACAAAACACATGTAGTGGGCGTAAGAGACATGTTCATCGGCTCCCGGCAAGATTCGAACCAAGGGTCACTTGGTACATAGTAGGATGCTGTAACCACTATAGCTGTACAGTGCTCAAAAAACGGACCACCCTGAATAACTTTTGATCTAATGATCGGATCATCACGTTCTAGGACTCAATCTTAATTGCTCGAGGAAGTGACCTCAAACATGCTAATTAATAAGTGCAGACGATATTCTAAGTTATGAAATCAGACATAAAAACGATCTTCCTCTGAATAAATATACCTTTTCTTCAATGGATTATGATTTCTGACCCTCAAAATATAGGGGGTAGCCGTAATATGGAAAATATGGTTCCAATTGTTTGATCAGGAGAGAGAGGTCTGAAGTTCTGACTCCTTAATGTTAATTTTACTTTTTGCGGACTTCGCTCTATTTCGGGAACTTTTCATGCGAATTGAATTTTTTTTATTGCGGTTTATTATTTAAAATGATTGCTGCTACCTCGTATATTTTGGGGGTCACAAATCCCAACCCATCAAAGGAATGTTTATTCAGGGTACAGTTTTGTGTTCGATTTTGTATTTTAAAATACCATCTGCATTAATTAATTAGAATATTTGAGGTCACCCCCTCGAACCATTAAGATTGAGTCCCTAGAACGTGAAGATCCGATCATTAGATCAAAAGTTATCCAGGGTGGACCGTTTATTTATTTATTTTTGCGTACTGTACACCTCAGTCCAGGGAAACTTAGAAAGTATAATTTCCAACTTCAATGGAAGGGGGTCGCAATTTGGACAATATTATTCCAATAACTCAGACAGGATATCGGTAATATTAATTTCACTTTTTGCTTATTTTGCTATATTATAAGAAAGTTTAAGTGACGAGAATACATTTCATGGTGTATCATTGCGATGATCACTATATTAGGCTTCATAACTCTCTCTGAACCGGGTTGTATATTCAATTATGGTGGTTAGAGCATCCTAGTACGATCCCTGATATCCTTGGTCCGAATTCTGCGGCAGCCAAGGAGCATCTCTAGCACATATTTCTCACTCAATATCCATTTTGCACAAAATTAGTCTACGATGTTGCAACTTTGAATACATGGAGTTTTCAAATTCCACTATTATTTGTTTCTCTATTTTTTAACACATTTTTGCCCAACCCTTTTTAACAGTGTGTTTTTAAAATTAATGCTTGAAATGTGGAGTGTTTTTAATCTCCACTCATTATTTTTTTCCCCTTTACAAAGATTTCCAAAAGTAAAAAGTGTTTTCTATTTACAGCCATTAATATGTGTCTTTACAATGGTTGCTAAAAATAAAATGTAGAGTATTTATTAATCACTATCCTTAATGTATTACTGATTATCATAAACATTATACTTCACGTTAATTCAACTTGGTGACATGTCACTTGAGAAATATAAATCGATAGTTTATAAAAATTGTCATTTCTTAATCGATGACTTATAGGAAATTTCCGATTGTTTGTCCGATTCAATTGAGATATTTTATTCTCATTTGCTAAAAATTAAATTATCAGTAGTTACGGATACAAAACCTTATTATCATTTGTACGTATTTCCTTTTTTTTCACTTTAGAAGAATTGGGTACTTAGAACCCAATGGAGAAGAACAAATGATTATGCCTAACCTTGTGATTTAAATCAGATTTAATTGGATACCTGAAAGCGTGACACGTTTGGCTTCTGAATCGACAAATGAGACGATTTATATTAGGTGGACCGGAAAGTAATGTCGTTTCGGTGCATTTGATATTTGTTATCAAGTTTTTATTTTTAATCAATAATGTTTTCACCCTCGTTAGCAACAACCTTTCAATCGAAAATAAATCGAAATGGATAAAAAAAAAAGGAATTGGTTTTTAAGACTAATGAATATTTAATGTGCCGAAACGACGTTACTTTCTGATCCACCTAATACTACAACGTCATTTTCAAGTATCTAATTGTAAGTCAAATGTCAAAAGAAATTGTTACCTTTCCACATTAAGATTTTCTCCCAAAACAGTTATTTCATAATATTTTCAAATTATGTTTCTTGAAAACTCAATTTCTTTGAAATTTCTAAATTTAATATTTCTAACAATGAGCACATTACTACAATATTTGATTTAACTTAATATGAAATTATAAACTGTCTAAATCTATTGCGTGCGTTATTTGTTCGTATAAAGCTCCATAGAAGCGTTAGAAAACGAATTGCAGGTAATCGTAACACTTATATATAATCAGAATACGAATTTCATGGGTAACGTTAACAGTATCCAAATCTTTAAAGAAAGTTCTCTTTGATATTTTCTGTTAAAGATTTCGCGAAGAAATCGCAACATGATTTGTAGATTGCTGCTGGGTTGCATTAACTTTTACTAAAGATTTAGAAATTTAAATAATGCAGTTTCTGATCTACTTTGTAAAAAGGTTCGGATCAAATTGAGGTAAAAATTGCCGGCACTCAGGCGGCTGTTGCTTTTTTGCTGGAACATCTGATATACAATAATCTGATATCCATAGAAAAAAAATCCGATATACCATAATTTTCACAGAAATAATTGCCTCAAATTCAATAAATCACTCTAATTAAATGAATATTAGTGTAAAAATTCCGGTATAAAATTTTATGGTAAAAATGGATTTTACCATTTTACCATTAAATGTATTTTACGAAGGATACACCCTAAGTTCCGGTAGTTTGTTGCCCGGTATACATTTGTCCGGTATATCCAACACTGATGTTTTTTTAAGGTCAAGTGCCACTGTCCGGTATACCCTACACTGATGTTTTTTTAAGGTTACGTGCCACTGCCCGGTATACATTTGCCCGATATACCCTACACTGATGTTTTTTTAAGGTAAAGTGCCACTGCCCGGTATACATTTGCCCGGTATACCCTACACTGACATTTTTTTAAAGTCAAGTGCCATTGCCCGGTATATATTTGTCCGATACTCCAAACAGTGATGTTTGTTCTAATCTATCGTTAGTAAGTATTAAAATATCGAAAAAATGCAATTATATCCACGAATAAATTAGTGTCAAATTGGATGTAATAAATATTTCGGACATTCACCAAAGCGACTAATTTGTTTGTCAACATTCACCGGTGAACATTGGCCAGCCAGAATCACACCACACGCCCGTGGTTGTCCCATTGCTGTCAATTAATCAAAGTGCCCAAAGAAATAATAGCGGTATTTATAATGACCGGGCAATGTGAGAAATTATCGTAAAGTAATTCAAATTTATCAAATTGCCGCCCAATTTTAATGATCATTATTCATAATAACNCAGAATGTTCTATTGTGAATCTAAACCATTCTCGAATCCTTCTGAAGGTACACAGAAAATTTCATTTAAATCAGTCCAGCCGTTTAGGAGGAGTTCAGTGACATACACACGAACAGACGAAATATATATATAAAGATATATTACTTGTATGGTACTTTTTAAATGCTACCTTTAAAAATCTCTATTTTTTTACGTAATTTTTTTATTATTTTATTACTACTTTTTTATTATATTTTACTTTACTTTATTTTTCTTTTAAGCACCAACACTTTTACTCTTTACTAACATTTACATGTAATATGGCAACACTCATTGCATAAAAATTAGTGTATTAAATGCATTTTACATTTTTACCAATAACTATTTAATTAAAATTTATGCGTTTTATGGTTCTTACAATTATTTTCACAGACACCCTCTTCCTCTTTTTCAGGAGTTTTATACCTTGTTAGTAATGGTACTTATAAGGCAGCATACCCCCTTCATGATGTAAGTATACTTAAATATGACTCATTTTGTCAAAAGGTGTGCTTAGACCAACAAACATATAACCTGAACAGAGCTTATGTTTTTGTTTCGATGCTACTTGCCAAGTACCAGCAAGAATGGTTGGTATGAAAACAAGTGAATCTAAGGCAGAGGGTGCGTTTCTTATTTTTCAGTGGTACAACCTATGGCCAAGAATACGAATTCAGACACACACGTCACAGTCTATTTTAAAGGGTAGAACCATTCATATATCTATTCATATATCTATTCAATAATCAACATATCGTAATTTTGATCGAAACCCGAGTTCAGTGCCCCCTGAGGCATTATTTTTTTTATTATGGATACATGGAGGACTTTGTGACCCGACAGATTTAACGTGCACAAGTCACTATTTACTACACGTCTTCGGCCGGCTTTGATCAAAAATACCTCTTAGACATGAGTCCAACGCCATTCCAACCCAGCTATCCCGGCCCATATATGATATAAAGTTAAAAAGTTTAACCCATATGTTACAGTTAAATTTAATAATTAATGGTACGAATAAAGTAAAATTATTTAATATTATTAAAATGGATAGATGGGTTACATAATTGGATGTATCTCTGGATGTAGTCATGATAAAAAAGTTAAATGATTGAAATTTCATGATATACAAGTTAAAGGCCAAAAATTGTATAAAAGGTAATTAAATGAAGGGGAATGTGATCGTTAAGGAAACTGGGTGTACAATGTTATCGTGGGATAATAATAACCCAATAGGTTCAAAGGGTCACAAAGTGTGAGGTTTGAACAAATTGGATAAAGTGGTATCACCAAATTTTAAATGAGGGTGAAACTAAAAATTAATAAAAAATAAAAAATTAGAAGATAAATAAGATAATGACATGCTATATCCAGACACAAATTTAACCTTTAATTGAAAGTTGATGTTTCCAATAAGAAAAACTAATAAATTTCCTTACACACACGGGAGGACATTTAAAAGGACAGCCACCAGGGGAAGACAGGGGAATAAATACTTCAGCACAATTCTTAGTTATTAACGAATTATTTTATTTAGTCACACATATCTTTCGTTACATTTACTATGCAGGAAAGGCCATTATTTGAAATGGGTGTCAAGAGAATTAAAACAAAGAAGACGTCATGCATCAAATTAAAATAAAGAAAACGAGAAATTTAACTATCGAAAAAGATATTTATAGAGAGAAAGCTTAAATTTAAGAGAGTCTTTAATGTTAAATAAATTTAAGGATGTTTATCTGAAGGAGTAATGGAATACGCTTATGGATTTAATTTAAAATAAAGGTTAAGAAAAAAAAAAGTAAAAAGAAATCCCGGAAGAAAAAAAGGAAGAAACAAAAGTCATCTGCCCGATGGCTCAAAAAAGAATGTCTTAAAAAAAAAGTCTTAAAGAAAAATGTCTTAAAAATTCGTTAACTGTTTCAGGATCAGAGAAATTACAGCCAATTAAATTAAAGAGGAGGAGAGTTTGAAAAATAAAAGGAAAGAGATTGGTTAAGTTGGCCCCCCTAAAAAAGAAAGAAAAAGAAAGGTGGGAAAACAGAGGGGTTGACTCTCCCCCACAGGATGACCATGAGGAAGGTCAACCAGAAAGTTTAAATTAAATATAAGCTATATGTTCAAGAAAAGGAATAAAGTTTTAAGAAAATTAAAGGATTATATATAATTAAGAGCTAATTGTCACTTTACATTAAGTGTAATTGTGACACCATATGTAATATAAAATTTCAGATAAAAGCTAGTTACAAAGTTTAAAATTAATATTTTATTTAAAAATTTATTCAATTGTAATAATTTCAAGTAGAATTGGAACATTGATTTAATCGAGTATTTGAAATATTCTATTCGTACATCTACTTATTTGGAATTTGAAATGTTCTATCCCTACTTTATGATTAAAATCATTTTACTTATGAAATTTCCATTGTAAGCTTTTAAAAAGACTATGACGTATCTTTTACTGGTCCTTTTTATTACCAACCTTATTATTTCTACTAAGTCATATTTGTTTCCCATCTAAATAAAAGGTAATAAAAATTCCAACTAATCTAAGTCTTATTTCTTGTTTAATAAATAAATGCATTTTCTAATTTATACTTACCTAGAGAAAAAAAAATTCTGGTTGAATTACCGTGCAGAAGGGCAATAACTTTTCTGATTTAAAAAAACAAACATATTTCAGGCAAAAAAATTAACCGAATACGGTATTTAACCATTCATTTGGTAGCTTTGTCGCTCATACGGTACCAGTTTACCGTAAATTCCTGTTTTCAAAATTTAAGTTCTTATTACCACACATTATATAGAAAATACTAAGCTGAAAAGTAAATTAAGCTGAATAGATGGTTTTCTTATGCCATGCTCTCAGGTATCATGATAAAATTACCAAATTTTACCACATTTGCCAAATTGTATCACATATATTACAAAATCATGTTTTATTGTTAATTTTACTGAAATCCTTACCGAAGTGTTTCGGTAAAAATTACCTTGCTTTTTGGTGCTCCAATAGACTAAGAAACAGCAAATTTTACCGTATTCCAGTTGTTTTGACTACACATTTTTTCTCAGTCTCATAAATTTTGATAAGAAACTACTTCCTATCCAATGTAGGGGGGATTTTTTAAAATTCGCACTATTTTTCAAATTCACACTATTTTTAAGAATCCCTATTCAAAGTGATTGCACTCAAGAATTTAATAAACAAAGTAAATAATTATAAATCCATAATACCTAAGTATCTATTTAAGATTTATTACATATAGAAATGTGATATTAATTCAACTATAACGAAAAACCACATCTTACTTAAATTCCTCAGTTAAATTTCAATGTAATAAGGAATCCAATTTTAAATTTACTGATACTTAATTTCTAGTAAATTTTTCCAACGAAATACTAATCGATTCAATTTAAAATGAATGCAAATTCTTAGGAATCTTTACAAATCTTTAGGAATCTTTACAAATCTTTATCAGTCAATCTTTAGGAATCAACCTTTAGGAATCCTTGCAAATTTTCAAATCTTTAGGAAATACTCTCTAGTACAGAATGTTTTAATGTGAAACGAATTTGGAACATTTCACTATGTTAAAGGGAAAAAAATAAGAAAAATGGAGATTTAAATAAAATAAGATTTACTCTTAGCGGAGAATTTTTATTAAACATATTTTCATATTTTTTCATTATTTTGTGTTAATTTAGATCAAAATAAGTGAAAAATTTTATACTTATAGAATTATAATAATACAATCAATTCTTTACAAAATCAATGCTTGATGAATGCTTGAATAATAATGAAGGAAACATGTTTTCAAGCTATTTTTCTTCATTTAGTATTTTAATACAATTATAATTCCGATAATCTAACAGATTTTTTTTAGTAATTATTGAGCTGGTTTTTTTTATTAAAAAATACCAAAATACATTTATTTGCTTGTAATTAGAGCTCCGGGAAAAAATATGCATGAAAGAGACAAAAATTATTAAAAAAAACGTCAAATGGTTAAAAGTGTCAAACTTAGTAATAAATAATTTATCTTAGCATTAGGTTAAGCGTGAGTATGAGTATACAATGCCTCGAAGATGATGCATTGTAGCTCAAATACTTTAGTATGTTTTACTGTATTGCTTTTACTTGTGTTTCAAAAATAATGACATTTTGAACTCAAAAATACAATATATTTTTATAACCAGTACGAAGCAGACAAAAGAAATTTACATTTTATTGCCCCAGTCTATGAATCATTTACATATGAAATTAGTGTACTAGTAAAGCAACATTTGTAATATATTTCTTGTTAGCTTTCTTTAAACGTTAATCCACTTGAAAAAATGCTTTATGTATTTATTTAGTGAGAACAATTCACGTGTTCTTTAACATGGCCAATACTGTCTATACAAATTTAATAGAACGTAATGATAACACATATTTTGTAATTGCTTTTCATAATGGTACATAAAAAGAGCTTCTCCTTTATTTTATTCAGAAACTTTGTTCTTCGCTCAAATATATAAGACGGTAAGAAAAAACAATAATTTTCTCTCACATAATCCTATTAAACTTTCTCAATATTGTGCTTTTTACGATTTTCATCATGATTAATGAGTTTTAATTTCATTTTTCTATTAAACTGAAATCAATCCCTCCTTGTTCACCTAAATGTTACCGTATTTTGTGGTAACATTATACGGTAACATTTAAGGGATGGTAACATTAGGTTATAATTTAAAAAACACCAGCAATTTAAAAGAAAAATAGTTAAATATTTAAACCCCATGAGTTTAGAAAGACAGATACATCATTGTGTCGTCTACAAACATATTTATTTTTTTACACGATCATTACATAAAATAATTAAATGTTTGCATTTATTTGGAATTGATTTGTTTTGTTTTCGTGAACTCTATGAGGGTGGAATCTTGGAATTGAAATTTCGCCTATTTTCTGACGAGCAATGGTACTCAAATTCTAAAAAGAGATACAAGTTTGTCGGAAATGCAGGCTACAAACACTTCCTGACCACAACAAACAGCTTTTATCTTTAAATTATCGCTATATCAACATGAAACCAGATAACTTTTCTGATAACCTAGTTTGTTCGCTTTTAACAGTCTATTCTGAAGGAAAATAAAATTATCAATCATTTTTTGATTTCGACAAGACGAAATTATATTTTATTTTTATTACTAAAATGGATTTATTGTGTATGAAATTGTGATCTTGAAATATACGCAAACAAACAGGCAAATGATTGAAAAAAAAGAAACAGTAAAATATAATTGAAACTTTAAAATTTATGTTTTTCAAACGTGCTAAAAAAGGTGAAACAAATTAAAAATATTTATGAGACATTAAACTAGAAACGTTCCTCGCTTTTTCGTAACAAACCACTGTTATCACCATAAAATCCCCCCACGTCGATTAGAAGTGATATGCCAGATGTTTTTCGTTTTATGCTTGTTTTATTTTCTTCTTTTTAAATTAATTGGAAAACTTTATAGCAATATTTTTTATTAATGATGGAGTATTTTAGAAAGATAAGAATTTCAACATATAATTTCTTACTAATTTATTTTAATATCTTTGTAATTCATATCATCTGCAACTGAAAAGTTCTATGAATTTAACTTCATGTTACTTTTTAAAAGATAATAATTTATTTTCTTCTCAGAAGACAATAATTTTATATTCTTTCTTTAATATTTGCGAAAGTTTAAAAATATGTTAAGAAGAGTTATTTTTTTAATTTATTAAAATTAAATTTGTCTGTAAATAAATTTACTTCATTTGCATACATTAACTTATTGCTAGAATAACTTGCTATAAAATCCTTCCTGACATGAGAAAAATAATCTTCAAAAAAAAGTTTAATTAAGTGAAGCACACTTATAAAACACAAAATCATAACTGAGTTTCAACGAAATTTTTTTTTATAAATTATTAATTTATCTACTTAAATAAATTTATTTTTTGTATGCAATATTATTTTTTCTAGGGTCCTTATGGAAAAGGTCCTTGTCAAAGTGATGAAGAACATAATACTAGAAGGGTAAGTTAATAACTGTTTTTATGCGCGTTAAAAAAATATCATAAAAAATGTAAATTGTATAGGTGACACTTAATTGACTATTTTTCTTTAAAATACTCTTAATTCTTCTTTACAGCTTTTGTATAGTGAATGGGCTAGGTTTGGTTGCTGGTATAAACGTCAACCTTTAGGTCTAATAAGGTAAATATTGATAATGGATGCTCTGGAAAGAGAAAAAATAACTTATAAATCATGAAACTTATTTTTTACTTTAACAAATAATGCAATAATTCTATGTATTTTCTGCAATCCTCTCTCAAATGACAAAAAAATTAACTTACTTAAAACACAAAATAAAGATTGCTTTCGCTTTTATCCATATTAAGCTTCATGTGATTTTGAAATTTTGAAGGGCTCTTTTTCTCTATCTTCGATTTTTCGTGATGCATGCTTAGTTATATTTTTATTATGAAATTATTTTTTTACATGAAAATTGAAAATGAAAACTTTTCTTAAACGCCAATAGAAAAAGAAACTGAAAAAAATGTACACTTTTATTTAAATAAATTAATATATTTTAATATAAAAGCATAATATATAAAAAGAAACATAAAAATTTATAGACATAAAAGTTTTTTTTAAAAAACTACACATACTTTGAGTCTGATAAAACAGCATGAAAAGTATAAAAGTATAATAAAACAATGTTTGCATTTAAAAAAAAAGGAAATTTTTTTTTAAAAATCTGTCTTGGACCTGTTAAAATTTTTAATAATAGTTTAAATGGCTTAACAAAAATTTTTTTAAACGACTCTAAAACATTATCAGAATGCATTTTAGTAATAACAATGCCTAATAAGCTAGAACTAGGTTTTTTTAAATATAAAATACTTGAAACAAAAGGGATTCATAAAGGTGAAAAAATTCTTAATTCTTACGTAAAATCTATAAATTCATTTCTGACATTAGAGTGTTTTAAATTAGTGTGAAATTTTAATTCCTTTAAAACTGTAAGATTTTAAAAGTCTATTTATTATTTTATAATTTTTGATTGTGCAATATATGTTTTACAATACATATCTATTAACACTGTTTTAATTAGCTTACGATTTTCAATTAAAATCTATTTAAGACAATTCAATCACAATTAATCTGTAACAATAGAAAATTTTCATCATAAAATCAAAATTAATTTTAATATTCAATATACTTTTAAGAATTAATACTGACAAAGGAAAGAATGGTGTCGTAATTTGAGGAACGGGTTTATTCAAAATAGTAAACATCAAAGATACTAGCAAAAAATAAGTTGAACAATTCGCGTTCCGCTGTTATAGATTTTAAGGAAAGGTTTTGGAAACATCTTTAGTTATTTGAATAGGATTATATAAACCAAATTATAAACCAATGTGTTGTTAGGAGTATATTTTAGTATAATTTTTAACTTCTTAGAAACTAATAATACACTAAACTTCGGGTAAACTTTAGGAATCATTTATCTTTCGTTAAACTTTGGTGTATTTTAGATTTTAAAAGTGAAACTTTTGTATGAGGATAAAACTAAGATATCAGCCCCCGCAACTAGTATGCAGAACGCAAAATAAAAATCGCAACGCTTGAATAATTTTTCATTTAATGAGTGGATGTTTACGTACTTTAAATGCACAAAGGTTCAAAAGCGTAATACTAAATATTCGATAAATTTTGGCAGAGAGGTCATAAATTCAAGCTTTTTAGGTTATAAATTCAAGCACAAAAATTTATTTTCTCTTAATAAACGTACTATTTTTTGGTCAGATTTAAAGACTTGACCGTTAAAATACAAAAAAATTAGGAAATTATTGTCCCAATTGTTTAGTCAGATGAGCAGACGGAAATGTTGACCCTTTGACACAAGATTTTTGTTTACTATTTTTTTTCCTTTGTTAAAATTTGTATATTGTACTACAAATATATTTCCAAAACTATATGATAGTTTATTTAGTAACTATTAGATTGTGTTTTGGAACTAAAAATATCAATATATAATCTTGCTTTTAATGAGAGCGTCAGTATATAAATAAAATATAGAGAAAACATGGTAAATTTGTGAAGATTTTTTTTAAAGGAGAAGAAAAATATTTAAAATTTTCTTTTAAGAAATAAACTTTTAATAAAATACTGAAAAGACGGATAACAAAATTAGGAAAAATATATAATTTCATCATCAGCTCACTTTTGTTTTCCGTTTTGTATTTAATTTTTAATTTCTTCTCCTTTAAAAAATTAAAAAAATTTCTCCTTTTTCCCCCTCCTTTTTTTGCATATTTTTCCATGTTTGATCCATATTTTTAACTGATTATATGAGTAGTATACACTTGCAACCTATGCGCAGTAAATAGCGCTGCTTCGTTTATCTCTCTTTCTTTTTATCCTGATTGTCATTATTCTGTAATATATATATATATANTTCAAAGGGTAACTCCGTATTTATTTCAAAATAGTTCTGGAATTATTCAATTGAATCAAATATTTTTAAGCACATGGCTGTAAAATCAATTTGCAGGCCTTTTTTTTCAAAGAAGAATCCATGAAAAAAAAAACTATTTGAAATTTATTTATTATTATAAGTTAGTAATGATTGAAATTTTTCTTAATTGTAAGGTATGAAATTTCTTTGGTCATTTTAAATTATGGAAATTCAAAGATTAAAATCCTAAGTTTCAACTGCATTTGCGGAAACGTTTTTGAGAAGAAAAAAAATTAGGAAATTTTTTTTTTATTTCGTTTCATTTTTAAAAAAATTACAAAAAATATCTGATTAGCCGGTTTTGTTCAATTTTGTAATTTTTCATTTGTAATTATAATGTTCGATTTAGAATAAAAATGACTAACACAGTCAGGGACGGGAATTAAGTCCCCAACCTAAGCATCAAAAAATTTCTTTTACATCAAGAAGGGATGCTTATTTAATATCTTTAAAATATTGTGTTTCATCAATAGGCGATATTTTGGAGAGAAAACTGGTCTTTATTTTGCTTGGTTAGGATTCTACACAACAATGTTGATACCTGCAGCTTTCTTAGGCTTATTGACGATGATCTATGGGGTTAGCACAATGAAATCAAATATTCCAAGGTAAGTTTTCTTTCATTTTTAAATCAGACCTGAAACCATATTTTTTTAAATTTAAATTAAATAAAGGAATCACAATCAAATCTTAATAATATTTAGTTAGAATGCGTAGTACTCTATTTATATCGCTATTTTAATAGATGATTGATAACTTTTAATCAGTTATCGCAACTTGATACGTAATCAGAAATTTTTGAGGAATTATTATTGATACAACTACTGTATCAATATTAAACGAATAATCACAAGAAAATGAAGAGGTAAGATATTATTTCATTAAAAAACTTCATTCGTTTAGAAAACATACAGATTAAAGTTAACACTCGACATGCTTCACGTCTGACAAGTCTTGAAAATGGGCGCCTATTTTTAAGCGCTTGAAGCGTGTCGACTGTTACATCCAATCTATGTATTTTTGAAGCGAATGAAATTTTTTAATCAAGTAATGCTGTATCAATAACTGACAATTACAAAGTATCTATTGATAATTGACTTATTATCATCTTTGAAAAGTATTTATCTCTGGTAAATGATTGCTGATAATATCTTGATGATTTTAATAAATTAAATAGAAGAATAAGTGTTCTATGCTATATAAAACTGCAAGATTCCCTCATTTTTTGACTGCTACAAGCAGAATTTATTGCGCTATATCGAAAGTAATTTATTGTTAATTAAATTTCTGATTTCTTTCCGACCAGCTCAACGTAGTTAGGCTTAACTATAATACACGTTTCAATTGTTTCTTAACCGCCACAACAAGTAGAATTTATCGTCAATAAGGAATTATCATCAATAGAAATTTTGACTTCTTTTTAATTTTAACTAGAGTTGTATATCTAACAATAGTATAAATTGCAAGAGTTCCTTGACCATTATAGTTTAAATGTAACATAATACTAGGCAAAAAAAAAAGAAGAATTTATGATCTTTCAAGATTCTGTCTACTTTCCGACTGAGGAAAGTGTTCAATTTTTAGTTTAAGCTTCGTACCTTGATGATAAAGCAAAAACAACTACACTAGCATGCAAAAGTCCTTGGTCAAACTCAATGTAGATGGTTGATTGGAAATATAATAAATAATGTATAATTTTATTCCTAAACATGCTCAATATGCTTATCAACCAGAAAGCAAAGTTAGGGCTTTGAAAGTCGTATTAAATCAAATGCAATTTTTATATCGGTCGGGTATTTGATTTTCATGAAGCGATTTTCTTACATCTAAGAATTGGTTGAAGATACAATTGAAAGATACAGTTTCAACAAATAAGCATAAGTTTTACATTTTATTTACGGAAATCGGGATTTTAACTTTAATTTAATATTGACATTTATTTTTGAAGAATTAGTTCTTACAAGGCAAAAAGAAATATTCAACTGAACTGAGTACAAAGATTTAAATTTAATCCAAATTCCATTAAATTGCAAGAAAAGTAAAAATTCTGAAATCAAAAGCAAAATATATATTGGCTTGACTAAATAAAGCGGAAATCATCTCTACAAAAAAAAAAAATAATAAATAAATAAAAATGAGCCCGCATAGAAAGGTTAAGATGTTTTTCACGCGTTGACCAAAAACTTTTGCATGCTAGTGTATATCTTTAACTCTGCTAGGAAACTTTATCGTCTAATAGGATTTATCACAAATTGAAATTTTGACAACTTTCTGGTTAGCTAAATCATTTAAATTTTAACTTGAGCACTGTACTCGAAGCTACAATTTGCTTTATTAAGGGGTCACAGTATCCAGAAAAAAACCAAAACATCGGATTTTTTTTATTGTTTATAATAAAGCTTAAAATTATTTCAAATGCACTTAAAAAAAATCATATCTCCATCTACATTTTTAAAAAAGTTATGAATGCTTTTACATTGCCCTAATACAGAAACTTGCACAGCAAACAGACTTTTAAGTGCTTTTTCTCATAGATTATAATTTCGGGTTTTAATCTTAATTAAATCCCTTTGGAATTTTTTCTATTTAATATAAAGTTTTGAAGTAAACTTTTTTATCTTAAGTATAATACACTTATTTAAACTGTGCATGGAATAAGCATTTTATGAGATATTAAAATTTTAAAGCATGTTATATATACCTAACAGGAATTTTTAACCTTTTTCTGCTACTTTTTTGCAAAATAATCTATAGAAAGTATTCTAATAGTTATTTCAACAAATGAATGCACAAAGTTATTAAGATGAATATTGTAAGCACTAAGAAAAAAAACATTTTTCGAAAATATGTTAAAATAAAAAAGCCATAGGGATTTAAAAATATTGAATTTTTTCAATTTTTTTATTATTTTAAAAAAGTTAAACAGTTTAATAATTTTTTAAAGATAAATTATAGATTATAAGTTAAATAAAATGTAAAGCACCCACAAAATGAATGATTATACCTTTATTTAAAAAATTTTTTGCAAGGGTACTGTGACCCCTTAAAGGAAACAAAAGGTTTTGCCAATTTATTATGAATATAAATTTTGATGACATAAATTTTGAAATTTTGATGACATGAATATAAATTTTGAAATAATTTTTGAAAAAAAACTAAGAGGCAGTTAACCAAAAATGAGAAAATCATGAATAGAGAAAAAAAAATTAAAAAACTAAGCAAATGAATAGTGTGGAATAATAGAAGAGAAGAGAATTTTATTTTTATAAACAGATAACGTCGAGCGCATTACTTCATACTCTGAGAAAAAAAAGTTTTTTCAATACTAACAGAATATGGTAATATTTACCGTGTTTCTAGCTCTATAGGGACACCCTAAAGCATGGAAATTTTTACCGAAATTCTTGGGTAATAATTGTAGTAAAGAAAAAACAATTAAATACTGTTTTATAATATGTGATAAAATTTAGTAAATGTAGAAATTTTATCGTAATACATTTTAGAGTATGGCATAAAATCCATTTACGGGTACTGAACTGGTGATTGATCGTTCTCTTGTTAAGGTCAAAATAAAGATCTGTGGATGAATAAATATGAGTAGGTCCACCCTATAAACGGGGTGAAGTGTGTTGTTGAAGTCGTATACTTGGCCATAAATGGCGTCACTGAAAGAGAAGAATTCACGAAGATTTCAATATCTCGGCATCTGCCGCCGAAAGGGGCAATAAACCGATTCACTGATGTTGTGCAGATGATGTTTATGGGCGAAGTTGTTTTCTAAAAAGGAGATGAAGTTGAAGATGAAGTGAGGCTCTACAGCAGTGAAATCTGGCAAGGCAGTAGGAGGGAGCTAAACATCAGAGCGAAGATCTCAAGACATCTATTTCGAGTCTTTAATTTCCAAAAGGTTCTTTAGTTCTTTAATGAGGGCTGCAAGTCTTTCGGTTGGAGTGGCTTGCTTGGCTTGGTTGCTGCGATTTCTCCTGGGACGTGAAACACGTCCAGAGAAGTTAGCTGTGTGGTCTTGATCACAGTTACAGCACCTGGGGGGTGTGTCTCTGGATTTATTGCAGGCATAGGAATAGTGGCCACTGGAGCACTTCACGCATCGCGGCTGATGATAACAGACGCGCTGCATATGACCGAAGCCTTGATCTTATGTCTTCTTCCGCGGAAGCGTTCGACTCTGATCTTGAGTACGTCTTCTGCCTTAAATTAGCTTGGTTTCACCAAGCGGTCTTACCAGTACTGGTAAATGGCATTAGAAACAACAACAACCATTTATTCGGATAAATTTACTATACAGTTTTGTATTTTTTACCAAATTCGTGGTAATGGGAACTATAATTTTGGAAACCAAAATTTCCAGTATACCGTCGCTATAAGAACATAAAGATTACCAAATAAATCGTTGATATAATGTAATATTTAGTTTCACTACCCAGAAATATAGTTTTTTTTTTCCTTTCTTTTACCAGGAATGCTATTACCATACAGTACGCTAATTTGAGCAGAATTTTCTTCATCTTGTAAAGTGCTTTTATCATCATCGAATATCCCCTTTCCACGTCCCTTCGAAAGAGAGACGTTTTCAATTTTTTTCGCTTTTAATCTGACAAATATATATATATATATATAATTTTCATCTTTCAAACTTACTTGAAAAACATAGCATTTAAAAATGTATTTTGTTTCTTTTTATATAATTTTAAAGTAAAGTTACCAAAAAAAAATTTCTCCGAAAAATAAACTTATTTTATGTAAATGAAAATCTTTATTATGATTCAAGCATTTTTTGAGCGAAAGAACTTGAATCCAGAGATATTTTTCCTTTGACTAAAGCATTCAGAATAAAATTTTAAAATATTAAAATATTCAAGCTAGTAATATATTATTAACTCTTTCAACTAAAACTAGTCACTGAGAGAGTAAATATTTTCCTCCCGAATGGGATTAATTTTTCGTTTTCTACATTAATTCAAAACTACGATTCTTTTCACTTAATTTGAAATTTGAAAGAAATATGCATATTTGCCTACTTTTTTTTAATTAAAAAGATTAAATTTTAATATTAAAAATTTCTCTTTAAAATTCAAAATTATTTTTTTATGCACCACTTTGTTTTATTAAAAAAGGGGGAAAAATACTAGATTTAGAAGAAAAACACAAACACGAGGCTGTACTAGTAAGTAATTTATTGCGGTGTTCAAAGTTTTCAGAGGAACGAAAAATGGTTGTTTTTCTTCGTTATTTTCATCATCCTTTAGTAGATCATATTTCTTAAAAAATTTAAGGCATTCATTATTCTTTGAAGTAATTAGTAAAATTGGTTTTATTTTCAGTTGCAAAGTTAAAATATTTTCCCAATGTTGATTAACTAATGTTTCTGCAACAAATTTTTCCACTTTTAATTTAGAAATATGCATTTAAAATTTTTGAAAAACAAAACTTGTAGTATCTGAGTGCGTCTAATAAAGAATATTCCCAAAGTGTTATTCGAAAGCAGAACTTAATTCTTTAGTTAGGAAATAGTAATAAAAAATGTGTGTATAATTATATGTTTCTGGAACTATATAAAACTTATTACGAGGGAAATACGAGGCATACGAGGGAAAATAATTTTGGTAAAATTACCGATCTACATGGTAATGGCATTTCTGGTAAAAAAAAAAACACTGCACAATTCTGGTGTATAAAATCAAAATATACTGTATTAAATTTTTTTTTCGTTCAAATAATAACGGTTTACCAAAAGTGTTGGTTTTCAAAATTATAGTTCTTCCTACCACTTATTTGGTAAAAAATGCAGAACTGAAAAGTAAATGAACAAAAAAAAATTTTCGGTGTTCTAGGTCTTTAAGGCTACGTGATAAAATTACCAAGTTTTATCACTTATTATAAAACCATATTTTATTGTTAATTTCACTAAAGGCATTACCAAAGCTCTTCGATATACATTACCGAACGCTTTGGAAACAAGAAACTCGGTAAATTTAGCCATAATTTGAATATTTTATCCATACTTTCTTTCTCTCACAAGGGAAACTAGGGAAGTGTGACTCGCCAATTTTGAAATAAACTAGTGGGATGTATGCCTTATGAGGAATAATTTTGGGGGGCAACATTCGTTTCGGCCCATAGAAGGTCCTATGAGAGATAAAAAATTATTCAATATATAGAAAAATCGGTATTTTATTACTTCAATGCAGACTATTAGTTATTGTAATTATCTCATACTCCAATTAACTTTGTGGTACTTTCACGTACTATATAATGCATATTTATTGTCAAAATTGATTTCGAAAATTTTATATATCTGTAGTTTATCAGAAAAGCCTGGTAGGTAATTTAAATTAAAAAAATTGACATCAAATTTTTTTAATTTTTTCTTCCAAAAACCTTTCTAAATTAATTGGAGTATGTAAGTGCAAATCAATTAATTAATTAATAATTAATTAACAATTAATCAATAACTAATTAGAAAATTAATTAATACTCCACTTAATTACTAATTAATTGGATTATGAGACAGTTACAATAACTAATAGTCTGCATTGAAGTAATAGCATACCGATTTTTCTATATACTGAATTATTTTTTATCTCTCACAGGACCTTCTATGGACCAAAACAAATGTTAATTAATTTGATAATTAACAAACTAATTAATTATCCAGTAAATTGCAAATTAATTGGATTATGAGACAATTACAATAACTAATAGTCTGCATTGAAGTAATAAAATACCGATTTTTCTATATATTGAATTATTTTTTATCTCTCACAGGACCTTCTATGGGCCGAAACGAATGTTGCCCACTAAAATTATTTCTCATAAGGCATACATCCCACTAGTTTATTTCAAAATTGGCGAGTCACACTTCCCTAGTTTCCCTTGTCAGTGCAGTAACTATATAAAAATAGTGTTTACCTATCACTCTTGTACCTATACAATAATACCCATAGTACCTATTAAGGCATTTAATTAAGCATCACTGGCGTCGATAATAGTTTGGCGAATTTTTAAATGACTCACTGACAAACTATTGCCAAAATGTGTCTAATTTTCTTTGGTTCCTGGTTAATAATTTTGCGAGAGACGTGGTGGTTAAGGGGGTGAACCGGGCTCGAATCGCAGCAATGGTTAAAATTTGAATTCCGCACCTGGCTTACACCGACCACATTGCTAACATAAAAATATCCTCAGTGGTAAACGGATCATGTGTTAGAGCCTCCTTGCCGTCAGGCTAACCGTGGGTTTCCCTCGCCATGCAATGCAAATACGGGCTAATTCCATCAAAAAGTCCTCCGAAGGCTAGTTGGTTCCGATGCTTTATCCGAAAGTTTTCTTGTCTTCTGCGTTAGGTTCAAAGTTACATGATTACTGAACATTAAGTCGTAAATTCAAATTTGGGTCGGCTGTTCAAGACTGGTTATAAAATAAAAAGAAATATAAAATAAAAATAGTATATAATAAAATATGCAATGAAATATAAAATAAAGAAGTAATTAGTCTTTAAGGTCTTCTTTAAACACTTTATTTTATTCAAAATAAGTAGAATTCAGTTTTTTTTTTTATGTAAAAATCAACTTTTTCATTTTCTTAAATTTTATGTAATGCAACAATATATCAATGCATCGGGCATTAGAATTAAACTTCAATATCCGACTAATATAAGATTATCGATTCTGGGAAATAATTACATATTTTTAATTGAAGATAAAATATTAATATTTAAATAAACCGTTTGATTTTTTTAAAATTACTCAATAATTACTTTAAATGAGCCTTCAATATCTTACAATTACTTACATCTGTGTTTAGTTTTTAGAATGTAATTTTTATAATCATAAATATTGAATTTTGATTCCAATGGGTTATGTGTTAGCTAAAGTAAAACTCACCTTGAAACTCACATTTTTACATAAGTTATGAAACGCATTATGTTTTAATTTTAAAAGTATCTCTTTTAAAATTGAAACAAATTTTTTAACAAATAAATTTACCGGCCATCCTTTTGTATACTAACAAAAGTAGAGTGCTGCATTAATGATTTAGTGCTTATTGATCGGTTAATGCTTGTTTGACTTCAAAAACAAATATTTTTAATTACATGTTTATTAATTTTAAATATTTTTATTTGCTTTAAATCTTTTTAAATTATTTTTTTAAAGATAATATTTTTAGACGTAAAATTTCAGATAGTGATACTTCTTATTTTAAACGAAGTATAATTTTTAAGCATCATTAAGTTTTAATTTATTTAACAGCATTTCATAAGTATCTTTCTCATATTTTATGTTAGAACGGAATGAACTCCATATGAATATAACCATTGAATAAGATGGGTAAAATAATTCTTTGAATTAAATCTAATAATTTTTTTAAGAAACATAAATAAGAATTGTTATTCAAAACAGTTCACGAATATTAACTGCATATATTGAGATTTAAAAATATCATATTATGAAAACTAATCAAAATATGCTAAATACTTTCTCTCAAACTTGCAAACAATATCCTTATTTGTTGGAATGATGGTAATTATCGTAAATAAGCGGAATAATTGTAGAGAATGTATTTTCGTAGTAATTAAGACTTTACGCACTGGCGAGTTTTCGTTCTCATTTAAAATAGAACATAATTAGTAGATAGATATTAACAAGGATTTTATTACACATTAGATACATTTTAATAAGTTTCAATAATAAAATTCAAATAACAATCTTCAGTATTGCGAAATTAACAATAATAATCAACTCTTGGGGCTTAACCTGAAATGGTTTTTTGAATAGAGATGTTTTATTTATCTCAAAGGAAATATTGATGATTGAATAGTTTTCGAGGGAAAAAAATTTTAAAACGCAGTCTTATTTCTGAATAACACATTACTTAGCACGCTTTCATATCTCTTTAAAAAGGCAAATCTTAGAAAACAAATTACCTCTTTTGTACTAAAAAATAGAGATTAATAATTCTTGACTAAAAGAAAGGACTTAACTATTTTTAACACAGTGTGTCCAAGCTTGTAACACTTATTCAAAAAGAAAAAAAATACCAATATTACAAACCACCAGAATTGAATCGTGGTAGCTCAGGGTGGTGAGCTTTCGTCTCTCATTGAGGTGACAAAGGTTCGAACCCCAGCGGTGGCTTATCGGTACAAAATCTGCTCCCGACTCGCATTGACTACAGTACTGAAGTAAAATATCCTCAGTGGTAGACGTATCATTCGTTATAATCTTTTTAGC